TGGTGGTCCAAAGGCCTCTTTTTAACCGTGTCAGTCCTTTTTAGTCCAAGCTGGCAGTGCTGCTGCCAGTACAATTTTTAAAAAACCGAAACCAAACAAACACAAAACTTTCTGGGGTTTCTATGAATCTTTTCTCCAAAGTCAATCTTTTTAGGACAAATTTCTCCTACCTTGGGCATGTCAGGATGCTCTAAGATAATGCTCTTGAGATCCTTGTGTAAGGCTGCCTTGAATTTTTCCATGGTCTTAAAATGTTCTTAACATTCTTACCTGTGTTTTGATATTTATTTGAGCTATTTCTCACTGTGAAAACTTTTGTTGATTGGCTGTTAAACGATTTTATTTTCCAGCCCAGCACATCTTGGGCCTTTTCGTGTAGTATATCCTCCAAAGTTGACTTATGAACCTGAACAATTTCTTTTTGACTTCATCTCTCTCCCCATACTTTCAATATTCAGCTAAAAAAAAGTCAGTTTACACTTCCAGTATTCTGCCTAGAAGTAACCTTAGTCAGGTCCACAATTTGACTAGGTACATTTTCTCTCTTTCAAGTTACTGCAGACAATACTTTGTCCAGTTATTTCTGGACGTCTTTGCAGACTCCAGTAACAGTTTCTTTATCGCTTTTCCAGTTTCCATAAACAGTCTTTCTGCCACCCTCTTTGTGATTGTGGAATTTTTTTCATAGCATCCTGGTTTTGTTCTAGAAACACAAGAACCTCTCTTATCTGGTAATTATTTATATATTGTTACATATTGTTTAATGGGCACAAATTCTTCCCATTGTGTATCTACACCCCTTTACAATATGACCTTGTTTCTTCCATCTAGAATTGGAATCAATTTCTTCACCCCTTTGAATCTAGGATAGCTTTATGAAATGCTTTAGTTAATAGAATGTGGCAGAATTGACACTGTATGAGCTCTACAGTGTAGGCTTCAAGGGGATTTGCAGTTTCTGCCTTTGAACTCTTAAAAATACCCCCCAGAGATCACCATGCTATGTAGAAGTCTGGGGTGAAAACCATGTGAAGAAAGACACCCATAAGTTCCAGCGTTTCCAGCTGAATTCAGCCCTAACTAAGCAAATCTAACAACTGAATAAACTTGTATAAAACAGCCTACATAAAATCAGCAGACAAACAACCCAGCCAGTCCACGAAATGATGACAAATAATAAATTAGTGCTGTAAGCCATTAGGTTTTGGGTGGTTAGTTATACAGCAATAACTAATACAGAAATCAGCACTGGAAGTGAAAGGATACCATAATAAAAATCTAAAATATATGCCACTGGCTTTGGGACATTACAAGGATTCCAGATATAAAATGTATTGCATAATAAAATAGTTACATATTGTAATGGTTGCTCAGCAATATGAAGGGACCACTTTACTTGGTGAGACCAAAATGACTTCTTGGAGGAAGAGATATTTTAGTGGATCCTTGAAAGATGGGTAAGATTTTGACAGATAAAAATGGGAGTAGGAATAAATATGGGAGAGAGCAATTGCTGGGTCATAGGGATGTCTGGTGGATTGTTTAAATGGCCACAATTTCTCCCCTCTCTGTAGTAACACTCTTTGAAATGTTCATTTTGTGTCTTCCTACATCAAAAGATGGAGTGTATTTCTCCATCCCTTGAATCTTGGCTGGTTTTGTGATTTGCTTTGATGAGTAGAATGTGACAGAAGCAGTGTTACTCCATATCTGAACCTGGGTCTCAGAAAGCCTTGAATGTTCTGCTCTTCCCGTTGGAACCCAGTCCAGCCACTATATAAATAAACCAAGACTACCTTACTATATGAGAGCTATGTGGTCCAGTTGTCCTTGTACCACAGTGGACAGCGAACCCCTAGAAACAGACTCTTCAGACAGGCAGCTGATCACAGACTCATTAATAAACCCAGCAGAGAACAGAGGAACCATCCAGCTGAGCCCAGCACAAATTAGCAATCTTTAGAATCCTGAGCTAAATAAAGCAAAAAATATTTAAATCATTGTTATTTTAAGTCATTATGTTTTGGGGAGGTTTGTTACACACATAAAGGGTATATATCTTCAATGTAATACTACCAAACTGTTTTCCAAAGTGGTCTTACCTGTTTACATACTGATGGTATCTGGGAGTTCCTATTGCTTCATTTCTTTACTAATTCTTGGTAATGTCAGACTTTGAAATTTTTGGCTGATCTGGTATGTTGTGGAATCTTGGCATTTTAATTTGCATATCCTTGATTACTAATGAAGCTACCTTTTCCTGGGTGTATTGGCCATTTGGATATCCTCTTTTATGAAGTACCTGTTCAGACATCTTGCAGATGTCTCTATTTGTTTGTCTTTGTCCTTTTCTTTTTTCTTTCTTTCTTTTATTTTTTTGAGAAGGGATCTCACACTGTCGCCTATGGTGGAGTGCAGTGGCACGATCAAGGCTCACTGCAGCCTCAAACTCCTGGGCTCAAATGACCCTACCACCTCAGCCTCCCCAGTAGCTGGGACTACAGGGGTGTACCACCACACCTGGCTAAGTGTATTCTTCTAGAATAAATTTTCATTTGCATCTGCAAAGTTCTTATGGGTATTATCAATCTGGAAGCATTTTAAATTATATTAATAGATTGAGGTTTCTTTCACTATCCTATGAAGCAGCTTTTATTTAAAAATTAATATGAAATTAAACTGTTTACAACTTTCTGGGATAAGACTTTTTTCCTCTTCTCTTTCTTTGTCTCTCCCTCCCTTTTCTTTTCCTTTATACTTTATTTGCTTGGCACCAAGGCACCTCTCCTGTAGAAGGTGGGTTACTTTTGGTTCAGCCTTACGTGAGAGTTTAACTCTTTTGAATTCTACTTAATGTAGTGAGTCTCTTATTAGATTTTGGTAAGCCCTAAATTTGAATTCTGTACGTTTTAAATCAGACTTCATAAAAGCTGTAGTTTAATATTGCCTCATTTGTCAAGTCCCCACAGGGTAAAGATAGCTGTTAGTGCTTGGTCTACTTTTTGGTTCTTGCTCTCTTTTAGAATTTAGAATTTGGTTCCATAATTTTTTATTATCTTTTCAGTCTTTGATGCTTTTGAGAAGATTTTAAAATGTTTTATTTAGAATTTTTAGTTGTTTTTAGTAGGAGGATTGGTTCAAATAACATACCTCATCATTTTCAGGAATGAAAATTTTCCTTTTAGAAAGTTTCTTTTATGCACATGCACTGCTGTTAATTTTATGTATTAACTTGGCTAGGCCATAGTACCCAGATGCTGGGACAAATACCAGTCTAGATAATGTTGTGAAGGTATTTTATGGCTGTGATTAACATTTAAATCAGCAGACTTTGAATAAAGCAAATTACTCTCCATAATGTGGGTGGGCCTCATCCAATCAGTTGAAGGCCAAAAGAGAAAAAGATTAGGGTTGTCCAAGGAAGTGGGAATTCTGCTTCCAGACTGCTTTTGAACTTGAGCTACAACATCAGCTCTTTCCTGAGTCTCTAACCTGCTGGTTGACCCTAAAGATTTCAGAGTTGGCAGTCCCCACAATTGTGTAAGCCAGTTCCCTAAAATGTCTCTATCTCTCTGCATGTGTGTGTGTGTAGGTCTGTGTCTATATATATGTGCATATGAGTCTTTCACATATATACATACACCCCCCCACATGGATATACACACATACCTATCCTATTCTGTTTCTCTGGAGAATGCTTATTAGTATAATACTTATCAGAATGGCTAAAATAAAAAAAAATAGTGATAACACCAAATGCTGGCAGAAATTTGGAGAAACTGGATTACTTGCACATTGCCAGTGGGAATGGAAAATGGTACAGCCACTCTGGAAAATAATGTGGCAGTTTCCTTTACAACTAAAAATGGACTGAATATTCACTCAACCCAACAATTTTACTCTTGGGCATTTATCTCTAAGAAATGAAAAATTATGGTCACAGAGAAATGTGTACATAAATGTTTATAGCACCTTTATTCATAATAGTCACAAACTGGAAACTACTAAAATGTTATTCCGTGGGTGAGTAGTTAAGTAAATAATACATCCATACCACAAAATACTACTAAACAATAAAAAGGAATGAGTTATTGATACATGTAACAATTTGGATGAACCTAAAAAAAAAGCCATAGGTTACATGATGTGTGATTCCATTTATGAGCACTCTTGAAATAACAAAATTATGGAGATAGATAACAGATTAGTATTTTCTCGGAGTTAAGGATGGGGGAAGAGAGTGGGTATGACAACAAAGAAGCTGCTTGAAGAAGCTTGTATTGATGCTAGAGTTCTGTATCTTAAATTGCGGTCATAGTTATATGAAGCTATAAATATGATAAACTTGCCAAAAGCATATATACACACAGACACATACACACAAATAAGTACATGTATAACTGGTAAAGTGTTAATAAGCTCCATGGATTGTACCGAAGTCAGATGCACATTTTTAATACTGTACTCTTGTTGTACAAGATGTTAACATTTGCAGGGGTTATTAAGTGAATGGTGTATAGGACCTCACTGTACATTCTTTTGCAACTACCTGTGAATTGATAATTGTTTCATATTGAAAAGTTGAAAAGTTTCTTGCAGCCTGACTCATACATTTTCTGGGTTGAGAAAGGTATTTAACTATCTTGGTTTTTAATAAAAGGCAATTTTTACAGCCTTCATCTTCCAACTATGTTGAGTTTAAAGATTTCATATTACTATTCACATCATCTTCACAAAGAAGCTTTATGTCAAGGCAAAGTTTAGGAAGCAGAATGTGTATCCCAGCTTTGGCATGAAGCAACTTGCCTGCAATGTCACGAACCCAGCCTTTAGAAGACTGGTGAGGAAAATTTGGCCTTTGAGCATACTCAGCTGCCAGAAAAGACTTCAACCATAGAGAAACAGAATAATACCATTGTTGCTAAGTGTTTTTTTGGTCAGCATTAGAGTGGAGTGATGACACAACTGTTAATCAGTGCTGAAATTGGTGGATTATGGGATACAGGTTGTCATATTTTTATGGTAACTATGCTTTTACTTGAAAAACCTAGATAAATTATTTTTTTCAGTTAAGACCTTTTTACATTACAGGAAATAAATATTAACATGGAAAACAACTTCAATACTGAGTCATCATCTACTTTTACTCTTCAAAGTTCTTCAGAGACATTGTTTTCTATTCAGCTGTTAGATTTCAAAACAAGTTTACTGGAAGCATTAGAAGAATTGCGTATGAGAAGGGTAAGCTCCTTTTTAAAATGCTTTTGTTAAATAAGAAAACTTGATTTTGTTTAGTTTATTGTTTTTTAAAGAATAAAAAAGACATAAAAATCCCTCTTGTTTAGAAATAAAATATATAGTCCAATTAATGAAGTAAAAGAGAATAGGACAGATTAAGTCAATGATCAGGGAATGGGAAATAAGAATTTGGAAACTAAAGCACAAAATAAAAGAGGGGTTTTCAGATTAAGTACCTGATAACTCAACTAGTATTTATTGAATCCCTGGCAGTGCACAGATAGCACCCTCTTTAGACACATGGCTGATGAAAAAGAATCGCTCTTGGGGAGATTACATTTTTGTTAAGGTTATTATACAGATGCCTATGAAATGATTAAATAATGAAACAAAGCAGTGTATGATTAAGTGACAAAATAAATGTATGTAGTAAATATTCTGGGTTAAAAGAATCAAATATCTTTATTTTAAAAAGTGGCAACTGGGATTTTTTCTTAAAGTATATGTCTAATATAAAACTGTAAAAGACGAGGCAGGAGTTCGAGACCAGCGTGGCTAACATGGTGAAATGCTGTCTCTATTAAAAATAAAAAAAATTGGCTGGATGTGGTGGCACATGCTTGTAGTCCCAGCTGCTGAGTCCCAAGAATTGCTTGAACCCAGGAGGTGGAGGTTGCTATGAGCCAGGATCACGCCACTGAACTCCAGCCTAGGTGATGGAACAAGACTTTGTCTCAAAAAAAAAAAAAAAAAAAAAATAAAAAATGTTGATTTCAGCAGGATATCTATGTTGTGCAAATCCCCTTAAAAAGCATTTTATTTCTGAGACTTGTATGGGTCTAAATTTTAACTCTATATAGGATAGACTGAACTTGGAAGATTCTGGAGAGAAAAAAATAAACCATAAAACTATTGCAATAATGATATAGAAATGAGTTCACTAGGATGTATATATGACCATGAAGATAGAACAGAAGAGGCAGAAAGAAGAATCAATATAATTTACTGACTTTCTGAAAATAAACTATAAATGAGAGAAAAAGAGATGAAACAACATTTTTATTATATAATAATATGAATATTGTTCTAGGATTTAAAAATATTGAAATTTATTGTTACAATAAGAAAATTTAAATACCACGGTGTTCATCCTATTTAAAGTTACTTATTAGTGTAATAAAAGCCTGTTTTAAGATGAAATTCTGCTAAAAATAGTATTTTGGATAAGTATTATAAAAAACTTTTTAAAAATTAGCTTAAAATGTTCTTTCCTAAGTGAAACAACTTCTGGTCACCATTTAAAACAATATTCTGTTTTATTATGTTTTAAATTTTATACTTTGGTCTGTTTATATTTCCAACTTAAAAAATATGCTTCTTTTAAAAAGCTTCTGAAAAATTTCAGGTTAGAAAAGGAATAGTGTTTTTTTTTTCTTCTTTTTCTTTTATTACCCAAGAAAGCTTTATTTTAAAATTTAGCTTTCAAACTCTGTGCTTGTGCCTTCAACACTTTCACAAGGATTTTCTGCTCCTTGATGAAGAAAGCATGTTTGAGCCTGTCATGGACACGATTAGCACACGTGGAACCACGATAGGCTCTGCTGACACGTTTTTTCAAGACAACCTCATAAGAACTTTAGGTCTCACATAACAAACTCCTTGAAGTCTACTTGGAGGCATGCCACATGGAGATTTTGGTGCTTTCCCAACCTTCTTGGTGTAAAGGTAAACAATTCTATTAGCAGGGGTTTGGGACAAACTCGTTTTGTTAGAGGCTGTATTGTAGGAAAGCCCATGATGATGCGTCAAATGCTGGACCATTTTGAGTGCCTCTAAGATGCCATCCCTGGATGAAGAGGAACAATGTTTTTAATAATCAAATGTAAAAGTACATAATACTAACAATGAAATTCCTCATTGAAAAGAGAGCTTTCTTCTTAAAAAGGGGAAAAAACTCCCTTACTTTCATTAGAAAAAGACAGTTACTGGTTTTCATATTTACCCTGATGGCAGTACTTTTCCTGCATTCCTAGATTTTCCCCCTAACATTTTAGGAAAATTTCAAACGTACATAATAGTTGAAAGAACTTCACAGTGAGCACCCATCCACCCATTGTGGTAGACAGAATATGGCACCCAAGCATGTTCATGTCCTAATTTCAAGAACCTGTGAATATGTTACCTTATATGGCAAAAGGAATTTTGTAGGTGTAATTAAGCATTTTGAGATGGAGGGATTATGCTTGATTATTCGAGTGGGTCAAGAGTACTCATAAGCATTCTTACAAGAGGGAGACAGGGGAATCAGAGTCCGAGAAAGAGATGTGATAGTGGAAGTAGATGTTATAGTCAAAGAGAAAGAGATTGGAAGGTGTTATGCTGCTGGCTTTGAAGATGGAGGAAATTGCTATGAGCCAAGGAACATATGTAAGTGGAAGCTGGAAGAGGCAAGGAAATGGATTCTCCCCCAGAGACTATAGAAGGTATGCAGCCCTGCAGGTACCTTGGACTTCTGGCCTCCAGAACTGCAACAGAATAAATTTGAGTTGTTTTAAGCCACTAAGTTTGTTATTTGTTACAGTAGTAATAGGAACCTAATATACCTACTACCCAGATTCTATACTTGATCTCATAGTGTATCTGTCATTGGTCTTATTTTTGGGATTCATTTCCAAATAAGTTGGAAATTATATGCTTCAGTATGTATATTATTAACTAGATTTTAATATTTGTTTATTTTTTCTTTCAATATGAAATTTATGTAGAATAAAATTCTTCACCCCTTTTCATCCAGAGGCAGCCCCTGTTCTAATTTTTTTTTCCCTATAGATTAGTATATCTCTGGTCTAGATTTTCATATAAGGGGAATCATTCAGTATATATTATTTTGTGTAGGTTTTTTTTTACTCAGTGTAGTATTTTTGAGATTTATTCTTGTCGTGTGTGTTTGTAGTCAGTTTGTTTTTATCATTGAGTAGTATCTATAATGTAAACGTCAAGGTTTGTTGTTTTCATTAACATAGTTATGGATACCTAAGTGGTTTCCAGTTGTTGGTTTTTATGAAAACAGTTGCTCTTCATATTGCTGTGCATATTCTTGTACCAGACATTTTGCAGGTATGTGTGACAAGTAAGCAAGAACAGATCTTATTCAGGAACTACTTATGAGATACTGATTTTGTCTCATGCCCTCCCAAATCTTTATCGCAAATTTTTAATACTTCTCCTTGGTAGTTTCTGAAGAGATCTTTTTATTTAGCATTTAAAACAGAGTGCAAAAAGATTAAGATACAATTAAAAATGAATAATTACATTTAGTTTTTAAAGATAGAATAGTAGAATTCAAACACTGATCCACAGTTACCATTAAGCCTGGATGGGACTGATTCTTAGGTCCTTGTATCATTCAGAAGATATAAAGATACTGACCAACTACAGATGTTCTTCAGTTAAGTAGGAATATTAAAATGTTAAGGGTAATTGCTAAACAAATAGAAATTGGCTTTATATCTTCCCAAATGGTAGAGAGAAAATATACAATTTGTAAATAACCTTTAAAAGGACATATATATATATATATATATATTTTTTTTTTTGAGATGGAATCTTGCTCTGTCACCCAGACTGGAATGTAGTGGCATGATCTCAGCTCACTGCAACCTCCGCCTCTCGGGTTCAAGCGATTCTCCTGCCTTAGCCTCCTGAGCAGCTGGGATTACAGGCGTGCATCATCACGCTCGGCTAATTTTTGTATTTTTAGTAGAGACAGGGTTTCACCATGTTGGCCAGGCTGGTCTTGATCTCCTGACCTCGTGATCCAGCCACCTCAGCCTCCCAAAGTGCTGGGATTATATGGGTGAGCCACCTTGCCTGGCCTCTAAAAGGATAATTTAAGGTCTCAATTATTTTCCTAAGCCTTTATCCAGATAAAAAATGTTGAAGCCGGCTGGGCACGGTGGCTCACACCTATAATCCCAGCACTTTGGGAGGCTGAGATGGGTGGATCACTTGAGGCCAGGAGTTCAAGTCCAGCCTGGCCAACATCGCATCTCTACGAAAAATACAGAAATTAGCTGGGCGGGGTGATGGGTGCCTGTAATCCCAGCTACATGGGAGGTTGAGGCAGGAGAATCGCTTAAATCTGGGAGGCAGAGGTTGCAGTGAGCCAAGACCACGCTACTATACTCCAGCCTGGGCGACAGAGTGAGATTCTGTCTCAAAAGAAAAGAAAAAAAAAGTTGAAGCCATCTTCTGTGTACTCCGGAAACTGGTCCAGCTAATTCACATTCCTCTAATTCAATGCTAAAAAGTCTGTTAATGGTAAACTCTTTTAGACTTTCCTTTTTCCAGAAAATGTCTTTATTTTGCCATGAAATTGTAGATTACATTTGTGTTCTGTCAGTATTTTAAAGAGATTTTATTGAGTTCTTTTGCTGCTATTTAGAAGTTTTCCTCTGTAGGTAATTCATCATTTCTATTCGCTCTTAAGATTTGTTTGTCATTGATGATCTTTATTTTTAATGTGTCTAGGTGTGGATTTATCTATATTTTTAGAGACTCATTTTGATACCTGAATGTTACGAAAAACTTCAGCTGTGATTTTTTTTGAGTATTGCCCCTTATTTTCTCTATTATCTTTTTCTTGAAACCCCAATAGACAGCATATTGGCCCATGTTATCTTATCCTTTTTGACTCTTAACTCTCTTATATTTCTTCCTATTTGCCTCTCTGTACTGAGTTCTGTGTAATTCATTGTGGTGTTTTCTAATTACCTCTTCAGATGTTTTTACCTGCTATCTAACCTTCCTCAGAGTTTTTAATTTCAATGATTACCTTTTTCATTTCTAGAGTTTCCTTCAAAGAATCCCCAAATTTAATACAGTGCTAATCAAAACCTAATGCAGTGTTTTTTAGAGCTCGGTAGGATGATTCCAAAGTTATATATGTAAGAAAAATACATGAGGATAGCCAATAACATTTTCAAAAGAGAAGAGTGAAGTAC